CGCTCGGACGACCACTTTCATCTTCTCCAAAGTTTCTCAGCCGTGAACGCTGCTCCACCCACAAAGGACTGGACGGAGGTCGGCATCCAGCAGCCGCGATACGAGGAGATGGTGAGGAGGGTCGTGGTGGAAGCTGTGGACCGGCTGCAGGAGACGTTCAGGAAAGAGAAGAAGAAGCTACTAGAGGCCGAGCTGAAGAAGGTCCAGCAGTGTGAAGTGGAAGTGACTCTGGATCCTGAAACAGCAAGTCCCTGGCTCGTCCTGTCCGACCACGACAAACAAGTCAGTCTCGGAGACATGAAGAAGACTCTCCCAAAGACACCGGAGAGGTTTTATCCAGGCGGTGGGATCTTAGCAAAGCAGAGTTTCTCTTGTGGAAGGTTTTACTACGAGGTGCAGGTAAAGGAGAAGATGAAATGGGATTTAGGAGTGGTCAGAGAGTCCATCAGCAGGAAGGGGAAGGGTCACAAAGAACGAGGAGAGTGGTCTCTGGATACTGAGGAAGGCTAACGAGTACAAAGCTTGTGACGGCAGCCGTGACGTTCACCTCAGTCTGACGTGGCATCCTCGGAAGATCGGCGTGTTCGTGGACTACGATGGCGGTCTGGTCTCCTTTTACGATGTTGATGCTGCAGATCTGATCTTCTCCTTCACTGACTGTCACTTCACTGGGAGGCTGTTCCCATTCTTCAACCCCGGCACCGCTGCACCCCTGATCATTTCTCCTGTCAATCACTCTGATTAGATCAGTTCTTTACTATCAAACACACAACTTTATTACATGTTCAACTAAAAAGGTTTAAACTAATAATTACATTTATGATTTCTGTGGTGAAACAAACAAGTTCTGACTTATTTTTTCTATGTATTGCAAAATATGTTGGATTATAAGCAATTTTCCCTTTTTAGTAAAATACTTTATGTTGTGATATTTTAATTTATTTTGAAAATATTTATAATTTTTAACAAATTCCTCAAACATAAAATAAAATATAAAACCATCGATCACAGTGATCAGACAGTGATCAGACAGTGATCAGACAGTTGATCAGACAGTGATCACAGATCAATGAGCAGTCTGTTTCTCCTAATGTTTGTTACCTGCTCAGCCAGGTGTACTAACGCCTCACTAACAGGCCTGAATAAAGACTCTAAATGTATGGAGTAAGATAGCTATCAAAAAGATGTGTTCATGATTCTAACCATTCGTATTCGTAATGTTAAACATTTATATGTCAATAAAATTGTTGTACACAAAATGAGAAACTGTTTGGGTAAGGATTGTTTTTATGTGAGTATGAATCTAAAAGCTGTGAGTGCAAAGTCACAAACTCTAATTTCTACCACTACGAAGTCTTCACTGTGAACAAGAGTTCAAGTTTGTGGGTACGAGTAAAAAAGTGTTGAAATGACATCACATTGGTCACAGGGGAAAATAATTGAACCCCGATTCCTCCAAACGCGCATGAGCCAAAACCAAAGTGGACCGAGTGGAGCTGCCGGCTCAGGTGAAGCATCAGAGAGGGGGTTGTAGACGATTCTGTGGTCTCTGGACAGACCAGTGGTCACTACCACTAAGTGCGCTGGTATCTGGCATGGACCTCCATGTATCCCTGACTGCAGGCCTGCAGACCTCAGTGTGCTCAACTCATTAAATACGGTATCTGAAGAGGGACAAGAAACCATAATGAATGTGGCGAAATGCAGGGATTTAAACACAATGAACTTAATCTTTGGTTTTACTAATTATGAAATACAATATTGACACATTTCACAAAATAACAGATTAACTACCTATCAAAACATTAAATTACCTTAATTATTCATTAAATGATTAAAAAAGTAATATATTTTAATGTGTATTTATCATAATCAAATGTAACCTGAGATACTTTCTTAATGTTATCAAAATTAAAGGGATCACTAGACTGTTTATTTTATTTTTATTGAACAACAAATTATTGAACAACAGACAACAAACAAACATTAACATAAAACAAGCAGGCAAACAGTAAAAATGTTAATGAAATACTAAAATGATATTAATGATGATCATAATGACAAAAATGATAATAATGTTAATAATAATAATAATAATAATAATGACAAAAATGATGATGTTGATAATGATAATAATAACAATGAGTGGACATGTACTGGTCTGGGTCTGAGGTACGGATCATATGATATCAGACTCTTAGAGGAACATGGCATTGATTTATATTATTTACTCTACTACACACCCCCCTGTGGAGGTGGGCGTGGTTCGCGCTCAGCTGCAGGAGGGAGAGGTGTGGGGAAGGCCTGGGAGAGTGGCACCAGGTGAGTTGATTACCTCACCTGCCAATGATTGTCTGATGACTCTACCTTTTATCTTGGCAGTAGTGTGCTGGATCCGGGAGAGACACACGCCGAAAGACAGGCCTCTGGGCGGAAGCTGCCGAGCAGCGGTACAGCTGCATTTTGTGCCTCAAATAAAGAGTTGCGTGAACCGACAGTCTGGTCCGGGAGTTTTGTGTGCTGGGGAACCCCGTCTGTAGCACGGCTTGCTACACCCCCCTTGTTCATTTAATAAACAAATACAATCAGAATACAATCAATATACAATAGTCAAACATTAAAGACATCAAACGCATCAATCTGTTTTGCAGATTAATGTGAAATTGGTTCATGTAAGTTACTCATAGTCCAGAGAAATATAGGCTGAATATATGCATAAAGGAAGTATAAGAAAACACGCATAATGACTTTATTAAAATACCATATTATATAAATACATGTATAAAAATAACAAACTATGACCAGAGATCATAAAGCATCCTATCTCTGAGTAATATACAAGTGATTTTAAAATCAAAAAGACAAGATATGTTCTTAATAACAAAACAAATGTCACTGTTATTTTCATAGAGCATATTTATTGTACATGTTAATATAAAGTATGAACGATGAGGGCAGTGGGGGTCACATCGCCCAGCCCTTAAATACAGTGTATTCAATAACTACATTTCAGAAGTACTACCTTTGTGCCTCACTGACGCAGGGCCCTTAATGTGGTTGTCCACTTGATATTTTGCAGATGCACTGTACTTGCAGAACGGACATGACAGGTCGCTGCTTTTTGTGGATTTGGGGAGGTCACTGTATCACTGTAATGTGTCTCTATACATAAAAAAACAACAACATGACTACAAAGTCACAAAATACTGACTGTTTTTCTTTACTCTGATTAGTCTCATTACACAGAGTTTTTATGTGATTGTTGCGGGCAAAGGTTTGTCTGATTATGCATTGAATTATGGGATTGCACAATGGCGTTTTTCTGGAGGGACTGATTACTGTGCATATACCACTGAATGCACTCTGATATTAGTATGTTAGTTTGAATATAACATTAGCTCATGAGCAGCTAATTCACCTAACGATACACCTAAAATACATGAAGAATATTATAAAGGTCACACTGACTTCCATTATTTATCATACCAAAGCGGCAGTCAGAAGTGTGGAAGGAGACAGGGAGACCGAACAGGAAGCATCACGGTG